ACTCTCAACACCTTTGGTCCTTTACAGAAAAAGTTTGCCAACTTCTGGCTTAGAAGTCAATAGTAGAGATCAATGGAATGCTAAAAAGAGCCCATCTAGTCCAAAAGAAGGCAATGAAAGAAGAAAGGAACTAAGAAGAGATGGGACAAATAGTAGGATGGTAGAGTTCAACTCAGCCATATCACTAATTACGTTAAATGTGAATGGTCTAAATACTGCAGTGAAGAGCACAAATTGTCAAACTGGTCGAAAAAAGACCCAGCTGCGTACTGTCTGCAAAATATCCATTTTAAATATTAGTGGCAGAGAGGTACCATCCAAACTAATCATCAGACTTTTTAAAGCAAAAATTATAACAACATATTACGGGGTTTATGATATATGTAGAAAAGGTAAAACTGATCTAAAAATAACAGAAACCAATCAGTAGTTGCCAGAGGTCAGGGTGGAGTTGACTGTAAAGGGGCACAGGGAACCTTTTGGGGTGATATAAATGTTTCATATCTTGATTGTGGTGTGGGTATATGGTTGTATATGTCAAAGTCACTAAACTGTATATTCAAAATGACTGCAATAAAATTGATTTTTTAAATGAATAAAACTGATTTTATAAAGTAAAGTTAAACAATAGATGAAATTCTCTTCAGATATTCTGAACTTGCCAGCAGTTTAATCAGAGGGAAAAACAGCCCATTATGTTGGTCTTTTCTAAGTGCTGACCTGAAGACCTGGCTGTTTTAGATTGGTTTCTGAATCAGCAGATCTGAGGTAAAACCAAAAAAGGTTTTTGTTTTTAAATGCACAGCCAGGCTTGGGAGCTATTTAGTTATATAACTCTCATTGTTTTTATTATAGGAAGCAAATCCCATTTAGATTGTACATAAGCAATGTTATTATCCTGAAATCTCATGTGCACTATTTTTGGTCAAAATATATACCAGCAGTTCCTTGGTCTACACTCTCCTGAAGGGCAGAGGTGGGTCTTACTCATGCTTCTCTCCACAGACCTACTATCATATCTGGCACATGCTAAGGCGTCAGTGAATATTTGTTGAGTGAGTATTTTTGAATGCCCATAGATCCTCTCAGAATGAAAAATATCACTCACAAATGTATTCATTAATAGTGAAATGTATTTATTCTGAAGTATATGCCATTGAGTGGGAAAAGATGGAGCTCCTTCTCAGGCCAAATTCATGCTTCTCCAGGTGCACATGTTTGCCCATCTATTTAGTGGAAATATTCATTCACCAACATTTGTTCAACAGATATCATTTCTAGTCCATACCAGGCACTATTCTAGATATAGGAGTGAACACAACAGATCACATCTCTGCATTCATGGAGCTTTCCTTCGAAACGGGAGGACTGAGAGGGACATGTATACATGTACAAATATAGGGTGTCAGTGGCGCCAAGTGTTATGAGGAGCACTGAAACAGAGAAGAGGGAAAGGGAATATCGGAGGTGGGAAGATATTGCTGTTCATAGTGGGTGGTTGAGGAAGGCTTCTCTTAAAAGGGTAACATTTGAGCAGAAACCTAAAAACAAGTAAAGGAGCAGGCCATGCATGTATATATGGGTGCAGAGTATTCCAGTTATATGGAACCACAAAGCAGGGAGCACGACTGGCAAGAAGGCCAGTGAGATGAAACAGAGTGGGCAGGGAGAGGAGTAGGAAGGATGAGAGTACAGAGGTAGTAGGGGGGCAGTTCAGAGAAGGCCTTAGAAACCTTCACGAGGGCTGCCTTTTGCATTGAGTTGGGAGGCCCTTGGAGGTTTTAGGCAGAGAAATGACATGGTTTGATTTAGGTTTTAAAGAGGGCACTTTAGCTGCTGTGTTCAAGACAGACTCTAGTAGAGCAAGTGTAAAAATAGGGAGACCAGTTCAGTGGCCTTGTTGGTGAATGAGTACATACAGTCTGGCAAATATGCCCCCTCATAAACATTGAATTGGTTTTATCATTCTACTTACTGGACTTTTGAAATTATTTTCTTTTAACTAGTATTTTACCCAAATACAGCCTAAATTTATTGCAGTAGCACAGAAATTATTTTCTGAACATAACAAAATATAACACTTTACATTGCTTCGTTGATTGCCAGTGGATAATAATAATATATTTATAGAGTGTTTGACAGTTTAAAAGCTATTTTACATTCATTATCTCATCTAATCCCCACAATTTTTAAAGATTGATACGGTAACTTTTATTATCTCCCTATAGAGGTGAAAACTAAAATGTCACATGCCTAGTCCAAAGTCATATGCCAAATTTGTGGCAGGGCCCAAAAGACAAATCCAAGTCTTCTGTCTTCTAGCCTGAATCCATTGATTTTGTTTAAAGGGGTCTTTTATGTTCAAATGATGTTGCTGGGTTTGGAACACTTATATTAGCAAATTTAGTATATTGTTTAGAAAGCCATCTACCAGTGAGCAAAGATAATATGCATCCAACAGGATGCATACAAAAATGTATAAGGCATATTCCTACCCTGTGAACTTATTACTTGGTGATACCTGTAACAGTAAATGTGGTAATTACTAGTAAAAATGTCACATGCTCAGTTCCAAATGGTACAGACAGTAAATGCTTTAGCAGTTCAAAGGAAGCAGCGATTTTGATGGCCTGAGTAGGTATGGCAACAGGGAGATGGGGTACTTGAGTTTAAGGATGAGCAGGATTCAGTCAAAAAATATCAAGGAAGGGTTTTTAAACCCAGGTGGTTTGGGGTCAGGGACACAGCATGAACAAAGGCTTAGTAATGGGGTGTTTTGGATTTGTTTCTTTTGAGACAGTGACTAAAACAGTCTAGTCAGAATACAAAGGTTGTTTTGAGGATGGCTGTATGTCTACTGCTTTCATACACAAAGTATTCCTGAAAGCTAGGCTGAAAGGTGAATATGCAAAGTCATGCAGTAGGATTACATGTAAGTAAAAAAAGATGTTGGGGAGCTGAAAATGCCATAAAGTTCTTATTTACACCTTGCCTTTTAGAATATAATCTAGAAATTTTGTTGTTTTATTCTTTCTCTGTTGATCCACTTAAGTCAAATATGTGTCTGATTAAAGCTAAGAATTTGTTCTTTTTACCATACCTTGTGATTTCCATGTAGCTCCTTCTTCCAGGAGCTCAGAATATTTGTTCTTTATCTATCATCTGATATATGGCTTAAGAATGGTTTAAGGGTATCAGTATATAAAAGAGAAGATTGTCCAAAAGAAAAATATTCAAAGTTGAGGGCTTATAATGAGAATTAGGTTTGGAAAATAAGACCAGGCTTTGTAGAGCCTAACATTTCTGTCAGTTCGGCACACATTTATTGAGTGTCTACTGTGGCTGTCTATGATGTATATTTTTTGTATAAACTATTGAGGCATATTTGAAAGCACAACCCTATTCTTAAGAAGTTCACACTGGGGTTGGCGGGGGAGGTCAGGGAATATTTTACTTCCTCCTCAAGGAGAGAAGTGATAGAATGAAAGTATATTTAATATGATGGTGGTATAAGGTTTATATTGAAATTGGGGAAAACTGGAGGCAGAGACCAGTTGGTTGAAAAAGCTTACACCTGCCTGGGCATACTGACCTGTATTCAAAGAGAAAGCCCCCTTAAAGGAAGTATTTAGTGTGTCTTACCTGAAAGGGCATGCTACAGAGACGTGGTCTACAGCTAACCCCTGATCACAACAGTATCATCAACAAAATAATACTGTGTGTTCGTGGTTTCCATTAACTTATTCTCATCTATTAACAAATACTCACTAAGCATATACCGTATGCCTGGCACTCTTCAGGGACTGGAATATAGTAGTCAATAAAAGAGACAAAGTCCCTGCCTTCGTGGAGTTTACATTCTAGTGTCCATCAGGCAACACCAAATGAGCACATGTATGAGAAAATGCCTGTCATGTTGCCTGTCATATGGTAGGTAGGGTTCAATAATCGTTGGTTACTGAGTTTGAACTTGAAGTTTGAGTTAAGGACCTACTTTTGGTAAGATACTTTTTGCAGGGTGGAGGGACGGAGTGAGATTAACTCACAGATTTTTTTTAGATGTTACATAAAAATTATGAGTCTTTAGTTTTGGGGTAATTAAGGTTATATGCTGTATTAAATATAACAAGTTGTCTGTTCTTGACCACTTTCGCCACTGAAGATGAAGCATTGAAGCAGGTGCTCTTCTGTACTATCAAAAGTGATGTGCTCTTATCCTGCTTGGATGGTTTTTGTGGGCTCCTTGAATTCCTGAAAAGGCCTATTGTTGTCACTGACGATGCTTCACAGAAACGCTTTGTGTCATTATTTAGCGAACTGCCTTGGCAAAAGCTGTGCCAGTTCTTTTGTTAACTCTAACAACAGTCGAAATGATGTAAGGGAAGAGAAGGATAAATGAAACAAAGACTGATAAGTGCACGCATGCACACACATTTACACATCTTTTAGATCAGTTTCTGAGGATTATCTGAAGTAGCACGTAAAACCAGGAAACAGCAGAACTGCATTCACGTTCTCGTTGTTTCAACCAGATATCACCTGTTACCAGCAAACATATGAATGATTTTTTTCCTTGCTGGCTTCCCTTTGGCCTTACTGCTCCTGAGGTGGGAGGAGCAGTTTCACTTTGAGAGCAGAACTAAGCCTTTCTGTACAAATTCTTTGCAGGAAGGTTACATTTTCTTATCTACTTTTCCTGAAAGCTGGAGTAGGATATTGGGTGTATTTACTGTTGTTGGAAGCCAAGATTTTATTTGACTTTCACGTGAAGTAAATAAACCCTTGCTTCTATAGAAACCAGAAATGGTTGGAAGTGAGGGAGTTAGGACCTTACATTTTGCCTCCAGGTAAAATGCTTTGCGTTAAATTTGTGGTTAGAATTCTAGGTTGAACAGATGATGTCAATTCTGCAATATGGTATGGTGTGCATGTGTGCTTTTTTTAGAACAAGCACTGTAGATATGGAACTAGTGACATGGATTTTTCTGGTCCCTTTTTAGATGTGAAGCCCTCTAATATGCTAGTAAACACAAGAGGACAAGTCAAGCTGTGTGATTTTGGAGTTAGCACTCAGGTAGGTCTCATTTTCCTGCCGATCTTTCTTCTCTGTAACATCCACTTTCTATTTTCATTCTACTCTCTGGATTGAAAAATCACCTAGCTGCCAGACAAACAGAACTCTGCATCTTCTCGTTGGCTGGGATTGTGTTATTCATTTTTAATCTCTGAGCGAGTTTCCTTCATCAGAATATGATTGTTCATTGTTTAATGACAGTAAAAACTGCTGATATTGTAATTACTACTTACGAATAGCAAACTTCATTGATATGCAGCTTTGATATGAAAGCGTTTTGGCCAGACAAAAGGGAGGGCAGAGTGGGAGCTGTGCCTGGGGAGCCCAACTGGCCCACAATAAAAATTAATATTGGGAGCAACAATGGTGGAGGGCCATTACAATGTGCAGCACAAATTTTAATTAATTTCCATTTTGGGCCTCCCCTGAGAACCCTGGTGATAGTGACCCATGAGCGTGCTGTGATGTTGATTTGAATTGCAGCCACCTTTACTCCCAGCCAAACACGAAGACCAAAGCGAAGGTCATCATTGTATTAGGAGTTGTCAAAGTCTGTTATCCCTCCAGCGTATTTAGTGTTCATTTCATTCTAGTAATGCATGAGGCTTCATTCACATCTTGACCATCTGACTAAAAAATGAGTGTGTTCAAATTCTACTTCAAATTGACTTTGTACAATCAGGCGGGTTTGGGGTACTAAAGCGATAAGCATCCTGCTTAAGTGAATTGTTTAAGGTTATCTGCTATAAACTGTAATGCTATGCTTGTTTAAGTTGGAAATCACATTCAAAAGAAAAGAGATGTAATCATTTTTAATGCCTTTGTAGATAAATTTGTTCCTTTTTATATAATTTTTAGTTGATTTATAGAAGTGATGATTGTAAGTTAAATGAGGAATAATTGCCCATTTTATTTCCACATTATCTTTATATTGTTCTGACAGAATGTTTTGTCTCATAGCTGGTGAATTCTATAGCCAAGACGTATGTTGGAACAAATGCTTATATGGCGGTAAGTAAACTTATGCAAAAATAACATTTAAAACCAACATCTTTATGTACTTGGTAATGTATAATTCTTGAATTAATTCCACAGCTTTAGCCTAACAGATCATAAATTACAAAGTCAATCCAGTCATGATTGGATTTTTAAATCTTCCTAAAAGATGTTAGGGTTTATACAAGAGCTACCAACTTCTCTGACTTTATTCACTTAACTGGTTGGTTTGAGTATAAAATCATTTTGAAGTATAATCCTATAGAAAAATTGTATCTTATAGCACATTGGCTACTTTGCCTCATTGATTATTTAATTAACCCTAAAGTATACCAGAATGTCAGTCAATAAGATCAACTCTTTTTTCCAGGAATAAGCATGCTTTGACAGCAACTCAAAATTAAATTATTAATTAAAAATTAAATTATTACTTATGGATCTGATTGTAAATTATTACTTATGATCTGATCCTCTGAATGTAAAGATTTAGCAGACAATTCTCTGTCGAACTTGTATATCTATATTCTGTTTACTTGGGTTCGTACCTATTATAAGACAACTTACTTGGTCCCTCTGAAATAAATTTACCAGGAATAAAAAGTAGAAGCATAGAACTGTTTCAAATACCAATGTGGACTTGGCTTTGACCCGATTCTTTTTCCTTCCTTTTAAGTAAGGGAAGTTATTTGTGTCCATAAAATTGCTTTTTTTGGGCTGTGTTGGGCCTTCATTGCTGTGTGCGGGCTTTCTCTAGTTGCGGCAAGTGGGGGCTACTCTTCGTTGCGGTGCGCGGGCTTCTTCTTTTTTTTTTTTTTAACATTTTTTAAATTAAATTTTTTTTTTTTTTACTGCAAGGAGAATAGCACACATATTTTACAATAGCTATTAAATATCTCAATTTAGTCAGTCCTCCCTACCCCCTTTTTTTTTAACATCTTTACTGGAGTATATAATTGCTTTACATTGTTGTGTTAGTTCCTGCTGTATAACAAAGTGAATCAGCTATATGTATACATATATCCCCATATCCCCTCCCTCTTGCATCTCCCTCCCACCCTCCCTATCCCACCCCTCTAGGTGGTCACAAAGCACTGAGCTGGTCTCCCTGTGCTATGCGGCTGCTTCCCACTAGCTATCTGTTTTGAATTTGGTAGTGTATATATGTCAGTGCCACTCTCTCACTTCGTGCCAGCGTACCCTTCCCCCTCCCCGTGTCCTCGAGTCCATTCTCTATGTCTGTGTCTTTATTCCTGTCCTGCCCCTAGATTCTTCAGAACCATTTTTTTTTTTTAGATTCCATATGGGTGCAGGGGCTTCTCACTGCAGTGGCTTCTCTTGTGGAGCACAGGCTCTAGGCGCGTGGGCTTCAGTAGTTGCTGCACGCAAGCTCTAGAGCTCAGGCTCAGTAGTTGTGGCACATGGGCTCAGTTGCTCATTTGCAATCTTCCCAGACCAGGGATTGAACCCGTGTACCCTGCATTGGCAGGTGGATTCTTAACCACTGCACCACCAGGGAAGTCCCCATAAAATTGCTGTTATTTATTGACGTCCACAGTCACTTCAAGAGTTGGGGGCTGGGAGGAGACAAGCAGGAAACTTATTTAGTATTTTGGAGCAAAGTTTTACTTTAACATCTTAAGTTTAGTTTTTTGCTGAGGGTTCTAGATTTATTCAGGTAGTCCATTTCACTTCTAGTAGTCTTTATATGAATTAAACAAAGTATGGGTAGAACGCTGGATCTTTTTCTCAGTATTCTTTGTTCATCTATTATCTTGGTAAAAAAATGTTAATATGGATGAAACCCTGGATCTTATTCTCAGAACACTACAAAGGATTTTTTAATTGAGATACCAGAACAGTTAATTTTTGCCTTGCATTGTTTTTAAAGAAAATTTATTCTTTCTCATTTTTCTAGGTAATGTGACAAAAAGTTAATCTCTGAAGTCATCATACCTATTTTTACAAAACTTAATCACCTTCTTGGCTCTACTAGGTTATCTGAGATTGGTGAGCCATCTTTATAATTAACAAAACTGTGCCAAATGACATGATTTCAGTCTTTGAAAAAATATGGAACACTGTGATTTAAAACAAACAAAAAATGAAACAACTTTTCCACTCCCCATCATGTTCATAGTAGCTCTAAATTGCTCTGATAATTAAATTGCAATATGTTTGAATCTACAAATCTAGATTACAGTTGTCTTTCCCAGGTGTACATTAAAGAAATTACTTTTTTTCCTTTTTGTTTATGGATGAATGTGCTGCATCCATCTCTTAATTGAAAATGTGGGGATTAAAATTATGAAACGTTAGCTCAGATTGGCAGAGCTAAAATTACTTTGCTTCTTCGGTGAGTATGTTCTAGTCATCAACTTTATAGTTCAAGCTGTAAAAAGCATAAGATACCTAGGAAGCAAAGAGTGTGATAGCCTGATAGTGAGCTTGGCTCAATTCAGCAGGCTCTCGTTGGCCATGACTTACCAGCTGGTGTGAGATCAGAGGTTGGGAGTTGGGGAAGGTGGAAATAACATTTATTATTCTGTTACAGGTTTTAATCCCTGCCTGAGGTATCGTGATATTGTATTATAGTACTACCACTGGGGGTAGTAGTGGGTGAAGGGTGCACAAAACCTCCCTGTATATATGCTTTTCAACTTCTTGTTAGTTAATAAGTATTTCAAAGTAAAAAATTAAATTAAAAAAAAGGAAAGATCTGTTGGAACATGGCCATACCCATTTATTTATATATCGTCTATGACTGCTTTAGTGCTACAGTGGCAGAGTGGAGTAGTTGTGACAGTTGTACCAGAGACCATATGGCCGACAAAGTGAAAAATATTTACTATCTGGCCGTTTATGGAAAAAGCTTGCCAACTTCTGGTCTATGCCAGTGAAGGCTCTTTCTGAAACTGAGTACTTTGAATTAACCAACCTGTATTTACTGAGCGCCTTCCATGCAGTTAGCCAGGTACAGTGGTGCCACTCTGTAATCCACATAAGACTTGGGCAAAATAGGAAACATGGCATTATATGTGGCCACGTCATGTGTGACATAAGTTGTACCAAGCGTACCGTTAGAGAATGAGAAGGCATATGATATATGAATTTGATGATTCAAACAGTATGTGAAAAGGGCACTTATAAAAGAGAGAGATCACTGTGGGAGGATGAGCAAAGACTCAGAAATAGAGGGTGGTGTGAAATGGGTGGGGGCGGGGACATACAGGGTACAGCAAGGGTCCCCAGCGCCCGGGCCGCAGAGCAGTACTGGTCCACGGCCTGCCAGGAGCCAGGCCACACGGCAGGAGGTGAGCGGTGGGTGAGTGAGCGAAGCTTCATCGGCTGCTCCCCATCGCTCCCCACCGCTCACGTTACCTCCTGAACCATCCCATCCCACCCCTGTCCGTGGAAAAATTGTCTTCCACGAAGCCGGTCCCTGGTGCCAAAAAGGTTGGGGACCGCTGGGGTAGAAGACAGTAATAGATTGTGAGAATATGCAATTTGAGGTCATCTGATGTAATGCCCTCATTTTATATCCATTTCTCTCACTTTATATCCATACCTGTTTCTGTACGGTGATAATAACAATGATAATAATAGCCAACACTTAATTAGAACTGTGTGCCAGTCACTCTTTTAAACCTTTACATATATTATCTCTTTAAATCCTCACAACAACCCTATGAGGTAGGTAATACTATCGTCCTTTTACAGATGAAGGCACCAAGGGATAGAGAAGTTAAGTGACTTACCCAGGTTCATACAGCTAATAAGTGGCAGAGTCAGGAGTGAAACCTACATAATCAGCCTCCAGAGACTGAACTTTTAACTGCTGTGCCTCTCATTCTATCCAGATTATTTATGTGTCTCTCCAAATCTAGATTAGGACTTCCACAGGGCAGGGTTTATTCTACTCATTCTCTACATCCAGTCCTTCACATGGTGCTAAATGAATGAATCAGTTCATGAAAGTTGCATTCCAAAAATGACTTGTTCACTAATTATAAGCAGAGCAGTTAACTTTTTTGTATTAATAAGTATCTTACTTGCGTGATAAAGTATAGAAGACCCCCAGATGACTCAAATATAACCAACTAGACTGCTCAGATATTGAAAAGAAAATAAATCAAAGAAATAGCCGTGCATGTGTGAACAGTCTTACTTCTCCTACAATCTGAAATGTAAGGTATAAGAAAATGGTAATTAGGATAAAGATAGGGAAGGGTTTTCTAAGATCCTTAGGTTATGAAAACAAACAAAAAAACAGTAACAATTTAGGGGCATGTTAAACAGTGGGTCTTATAGGAGACTTGGAAAGTCATCTGGTCCCACTTCCTCATTGACCAATGAGGATACTGAGACCCCAAAACTGAAGGGGCGTGTTCAAGGACACATTACATCTTAGGGGCAGGTAATTAGGTTTAATGGACATTTTAATCCAAAGCAAGAAATATTTTCAACTATATTTTAAAAGGATTTCATCCAGAAGGATTACAAAAGGGGTCCAAAGGCTTTGGTGGCTTACATTAAATTAAATCATTTCTTGGAAATTCTGATTACTAGAACTTTTACTCTATTTTAAAGACAGAAGGGGACTTACCTGGTGGCGCAGTGGTTAAGAATCCACCTGCCAATTCAGGGGACACAGGTTTGAGTCCTGGTCTGGGAAGATCCCACATGCTGCAGAGCAACTAAGCCCATGTGCCACAACTACTGAGCCTGCGTTCTAGAGCCCACGAGCCACAACTACTGAGCCCGAGTGCCACAACTACTGAAGCCCACATGCCTAGAGCCCATGCTCCGAAACAAGAGAAGCCACTGCAATGAGAAGCCCACACACCACAATGAAGAGAGTAGCCCCCACTCGCTGCAACTAGAGAAAGCCATGTGCAGCAACAAACACCCAACACAGCCAAAAATAAATAAGTAAATAAAATAAATAAATTTATATAAAAAAAGCTATTAAAAAAATTAATACTAAAGATAGAAGTCCCTGAAACTTTAACCCACTATTCAGTCATTGTGATGTATTATGTATATATATTTTTTTGGCTGCACCATGCGGCATGAGAGATCCTAGCTCCCCAGCCAGGGATTGAACCCATGACCCCTGCAGCACGCTGAGTCCCAACCACTGGACCGCCAGGGAAGTCCTATTACAATTTTTAAAAATCAAATACAAAAGTTTGACATTATTGTTATGAATACCTGAAGTTTTGAAATTAAGAAATCTTATGCAGATACTTGTCCTTTGGTATCAGAAAGTCAATCTAAATAACTATTCTTATCTCCTGAACATTGTTTTCTACCTGGACTATTCCTGTTCTTAGAAATTACCTTTACCCAGATTATAACCTATACAGATTACGTGATACAACTCAGTTGGCCATGCTCATGCAGTGATCGTACACGGTGGTGTTGATTAGAAGGAGGCCAACATTTACTGAGCATCCCCACGTGGCATGTACTGAATTGAGCATATTACATGGATTTATTTAATCTTCAGACAACTCCATTAAGCATACATATTGTTATTATCGTCTTCATTTTACAGATGAGGAAACCAAAGGTGAAGTAACTTTAGCCCAGATTCTCAGAGCTGGCAAGTAGTGACAGTCAAGATTTAATTAGGACACCAGCTTCTAGTTTCTGGTAGTGGCACATTAGGTTATTTGGACCAACTCTTCTGTTGAAAAATGCTAATTAAAATACTTTAAAAACCATCTCAAGTGCACTGAAGAGCTAAAACGACAACAGGGAACTCCCAGGACGGTTTTCAGATGGAAACCTGAAACAGAAGGGAAAGCAGAATGTCACAGCTGCTTATTCCTGAGGACATTTGCCTGTACTGCTACAGCTGTGAATGATATGGGGGCTCCCTTAAGGCAGAGGGTCTTGGAGAAGATCTTCCCCATATTATGCTGGAAGCCTGAAGAGGCCCTCACCCCAGTATAAAAGCAAACCAGAGTTAAAGCTGCTCTTCCTCCCCGATCCCAGGGAACAAAAGAGAAGGCTTCTCAGAGCCAAGCAGAGCAGCAGGAGAAAAAGGAAAAGGGAGAAAGTTGTGGCCATAGACTTAACTCTGGCACAGATTTGCACCCTGGATGTTTGTATATGTGACCTGAGTTAGAAAAGGAGCTTCATGCTGAGAATATTGCTTGAGGTGGGCACATCCACTTTAGGCCTCAGAGAACCTTTCCAAACATTTTTTTGAAGAACAAAAACTAACAAGCAGCCAAAGAAAACTAGTCACACGAGGAAACAGAGCAACATGAAGGAACAACACTTGTAAGCAGACTTTAGATCAAAAATTTTTTAAGTGACATACTTGATTCGAGAAAGTCCCAAACAAAACTACTAGATAAAAATGAAAAGCTCGCTATTTGGTAGCATATTGAATGGAGCAGAAGAGAGAATTAGTGAACTGGAAAATAGGTTGAGTTAGAGCAGTGTGACTCCAGAATCCTTGTTTAACCAGTATGCTCTACTACCCACACAGTGATCTTGCCGGCTTTCTAAAAAATCCCCATTGTTTATGATATATACTTTTTGATTACATACTAGCCTAAAGTATTTGTGCATACTTTGTTAATTTTCTGAGTAGCCTGAGCAGAAGTTCCTTTATGGGAAGAGGTAAGGGATGTACCTTGGTATCGTCCTGCTTTTGACAAGTAAACCCTAGGGTACTGTGTTATAAATAGAGACGATTCTGGAATGAGTTAACTAAATATGGGCCCTGGGTAAATGCCCAGTCACGGCGGTAAGTGGAGGGGTGGAGTGTGCATGCCATCTTAGAGCCACTGCCCTTTTAGAATCCTCTGCTTTTTATATCATCACCACTCCTTACTGTTCTCATTAATTACAGACGAGAGTTTTTCCCCAACACTTTAACTCCACTACAGGTGCTTCAGACAAGAGTCATGGTTTTCCGTTTATTAAGCTTTCCACACTAGTGACAAATGTCATGTCAGAAAGTAACTCAGCTTTTGCTTTTTAACAGAAAAATGTTCATCACAGGTCTTCTCTCAGTAGTGTCATACCTGGCCATTGGTTTGGTTTGGTTTGGTTTAGTTTGGTTTGGTTTTAGAGGGGAGAGGACAGAGCAGGCCACCTTGGCCTCAAGTGTGAGAACAGATTTGAATTGTGCAGCTTTAGGCCATCAAGTCCTGACTCTATACATTCAGAATGTATTGGGACTTATCTTGTACCTGTGTCAGTGTCAGCCACCTGGACATGTTTCCCAGTCCCTACGAATTCTTGAGGATACACCTGTAGAGCTGGCTGCCCACCTTTCACTCAGCATTCGTGCTTGAGTGCTGCATCACAACAGTAATCTCAGTCTGTTAGCTTACTGTAAGAATTAACTTCTCTAATGAGAAGTTGTTAGACTCTCATCCTTAAGGAGTTCTCCTATTTGCCTTCTGATATCTGTGACCATTATCATTTTTGCTAATTTTTCTTTTTAAATTTAATTTTTCTGTGCTTTATTTTCACATTACAGTTTACATTTGTTTTAGTAGTTCAGTGGGTAAATGTGATGGTTATATTTAACCTTATTGTTGGTCTTGCACTTCTAGATGAAGTGCTGTATATTGATAACTGTCAGTTATCTGTCAGTTAACTGTCAGTTAGTGGATGAAGAAAGGGAGAGAGGACAGAAGGAGGAAGGCAACATTTGGTCATTTCTTTAACAATTCTAGAGGATTTTAGGATTTTCATGTTTGCTAGAAGTTCTTTTTTTTTTTAAGACATTGTTTTTAAACTATTTTTTTTAGTTCTTATTTTTTGGCTGCATTGTGTCTTCGTTGCTGCGTGCTGGCTTTCTCTAGTTGCAGCGAGCGGGGCTATTCTTCATTGCATTGTGCAGGCTTCTCATTGCGGTGGCTTCTCTTGTCACGAAACACAGACTCTAGAGCACGCGGGCTTCAGTAGATGCAGCTTGTGGGCTCAGTAGTTGTGGCACGCGCAACAAAGAGTAGCCCCCACTCGCTGCAACTAGAGAAAGCCTGCGCACAGCAACGAAGACCCAACACAGCCAAAAATACATAAATAAAGTAAATTTAAAATAATAATATTTGTAAGATTGTTATAAAGTGTAGAGGATGCGAAGTATCTAGCCCAGTGTCTGGGACAAATTAGGTGATTATTAAATGATAGCTATTATTATCCTTTTCTAGGGGGTACAAATTAAATCTCTCTGTTCTCATATTCCTTATCTGTTAAATGCAGATGATAATAGTACCAGTCTAGTATGGGTGTTTATGAGTCTGAAGTGAGATATGCATGAAAAGCACTTAGAACAGTGCCTGGCACATGGAAATTCTTCAATAAATGCACAGAGTGATGATGCCGTTGTTGATATTATGATGATGGCATTATTCCTGTAACTGGCTGGCCAGGTGCATATGAACGCATCCTATTATGTATTGATCTAACTAGAAATGGATAATGGGTTCATTCAGGTATGAGCCAGGACCTTGAAAAGTGGTGGTATGGGGGATTAGAAGATAAAAGAAAAAGTATTAGGGGATTGGAATGACCATATCTGGTAGCAGCTGGGAGAAACGGTCACATGACACTTGGGAAGAATTATTCTTGGTAGGAAAGGGGTTTTATAAATTAAAGAAATAAATAAAGGAACGGAAATAAGACAATCCAATCTGCTGCCTCAGGGTAGGGCTTTATGTGATTTTATGAAAAGTGGGGGAGAAGGCATTAAATACATTGAGATAGCCTCATAGGTGGGAGTGGGAAGTAGGTTACAAAGTTCTGCGTCCCAACTAAGCCAACTCCCCAAGATGTAGGACTGTGCCAACTCACCTGAGAGTGTCCGGCACACATCTTCTACACTCATGGTATATCCCCTGCTGGTGAGTGGTGGATGTCCATTTCTTCCGTCTGCAGGCTGACCCTGACCCCAGTTACTCATAAGGGCTCTCATGGAAACTTTTGAAGGATGATGGCTGTGGTGGCTTCCAAGAACTCCAGGGATGGTACAAAGAAGAGAATACTGCACTGGGGGCCAAGGGGTGTGGGTCATGATCCTAGCCCTGCCATGACTAGCTGTGTAACCTTGAGCAACCGTTCCATCTCAGCAAAACCTCAGTTTCTCTTGTTCATTTGTTCCTGTGTTCATTCAAAAGACTTCTGTGAAGTACCTTTCTGAATGCCAAATCCTGGAGGGATAGAGAGACCAGGCAGCACCCACTTCAGTATGCAATTATTTCCATTGAAGTAGAGAGTGTGCAGGTAATTGTTAGACCAAGTATTTTCTACATATCTTGAATGGAGGACCAAGAGTCCCAAATGGACCATTTGAACTGTTCCTTGGTTTATATCAAAAAGAAACCCTGATACATGGGATGAAATGTTGAGTAGTAGGTGAATCTGGGCAAAGGAGATATGGATGTTCTTTGTACTAGTCTTAATCTTTCAACTTTCCTATAAGTTTAATATTATTTCCAAATAAAAAATTTAAAGTAACAGAATTCCTAGTGATTCAGACCCATCTCCCAAAATGCAAATAAGTGATGATATTATATAATGTGCTGTAATTTGTCACTCCACAACTAAGACCACTCACTGGATTTGGTCTGGGTTGAATTCTCAGCTCATTTAGTAGTTTAGGACTTGCCTAAATTATTTCACTAATATGAGCCTTCATTTTCTTTATAACAAAGTTTCCCTCATAGGGTCTTTGTGAGGATTCAATGAGATTATATCCAATATACCTATATTACCTATACAGTTTCTATGTATTATCTATATAAAACACATACATATAAAATTGTTTTTCTTTTCATAATGTGCTGTGCAGATATTGATGGCTCTCTGCCTTAACTGAGCTCACATTAGCGTATGTGTTTCCTGGAGTAGCTTACATCAACTCACAAGCTCCCTTCTGTTTTCTTACAGCCTGAAAGAATTTCAGGGGAGCAATATGGAATCCATTCTGATGTCTGGAGCTTAGGAATCTCTTTTATGGAGGTATGTTGTTTGGAAATAGGTGCTTCTGTGTATATCTGTACTAATATGTTCTATCAGGAAGGATGAAGATTTTAAAAAAAAGTGAAACCTCCAGTGTGTTATGTGTACATGTAAACAGAGTTTAACTCAATAGTCCTTATTTTGATACCCTTGCATGGCTTGTGAGCTGACTATTCTAAAGTGTTATTTCTCACAGATCATCTGTGTAAAACTTATCTGGAGCGCTTCTTAAAAATACAGGTTCCTACGGCGACTGCCGCCACCGGCGACTGCAGCCAAAAAAAAAAAAAAAAAAAAAAAATACAGGTTCCTAGACTCCATCTAAAACCAATTAAATTCACATTTCTAAGAATCAGCATTATTAACATGTTCCCAGTGTGATCCTTATGCACACTAAATGTGGAGAACCTGTGATTTGAAAGAGAAATTCCAAAAAAATTATGTGTGATAGTAGCCTTGTTGGAATGCATATATAAATTCCAGAGGTGATTACTTTATTAACAAGTACAGCCCTACTCATTTGGATGTATACTTTCTATATGTTTGTTTAGAAAGAAAAAAAAAAACACCTTGTTCCAGTAGGATCATATCATGTGTTGGGCGACAGGGTGTGATATGATTTAGAGGAGGTTAGGTGTATGCATTTAGCACAATTTTAACGTCTTTACTCTTTATAGCTGTATTTAGAGTGGACTTTATCTTGGTGAGCTACATGTAGCTCCACTAGAGGTCTGTGCTAAGAGTTCTGTACAATGATCTTTGATCTGTAAGGAAATGCATAGGACTTATATTAGAAGGACATCTGGCTCAGGGTGAATTATAGTAGTATAAAGTCTGGATAATCACCAGTGCTTCAAGAATTGTATCTTATGTACATTGATTCAGATAAAGGAGGACTCTTTAAAAAGTAGAAAGAACTCCTTAAACAAGATCATGGATGAGTTGCAGTCACAATTTCATCAACTTTTTTTCTTTTGGTCAAATACTTTTTCTGTGATTTTCTTTTTCTGTGATTTTTGTAATGCATGAATGCAGTTGAATTTCTAAGGAGATATCTTCAGACTGCATTCACTTGCACTATAGAAAGAAAGCAAAAATAAAGTATTCAATGTTTATTAAACCATATTCTTCTGCTTCTTCATGAAAGAGAATCTAAGAGGAAATACAGTATGTATGTATCAGCTGACAGGTTAGCAATACTGGTGGACAGATGCTCAGAACTAAGTTTCCCAACAGAATCCTGAAGGGCTTGTCCAATTAGCCTGTTTCAGGGAAAACTAGTATTTTTGATCTGTGGAGCTCAGCTCTTGCTATTATATAATTACCCTTTGCATATTTTAAATCATCATCATTAAATGTATTTGGTAAAAGACCGGATATAGTGTAGGACATTTGAGAAGTTACGTGGTGTAAAGATACGACTCGTAGGCTGGGAATGAAAGACCTGGATTGCAGGTCCAGCTTTGCTACTGCTTTTCTAGGTGGCGCTGTGCAAGCCAGTGTCCCTCACAGTGGGTCTCAGTTTCTTCATCTGTAAAATAATGATCTCTAAGCCCCGTTCCAGACTAACATTCTGTGACTCTAAGCAGTCTGTTCTTGTCTTTCTTTAGCTTTCTGCAACAACTCTAGAATTGTGTGACTTAACAATATGCAGAGGCATAGCAATACTGTCAGACAGTGTAACTAATAGATTTAAGATTTAGAGCACGCATACATATTCACCATTCCTTTCTTCCACATTCGTTTCTTCATCCAGCTTTTGAGCTCCTGCTATATCTGCTAGATAGGCAGTGGGGATATAGTAATGACGGACACTCCATTCTTGATTCTAATGGAGTTTTGCATTTGGTGAGGGGTGGGGCATTAAGTACAAAAAACAGAAGGAAAACTAAATATATAATTTGTCAGGCAGTGGTAAGTCCTAAGGGAAAAAATGAAGTGGAGTAGTCCTTTCTGATAAAACAACCTTTGAGCAGAGACTGGAATGGTGTGAGGGGGCCATCAGGCAACAGCAGATACAAAGGTGCTAAGCTGGAGTGTGTTTGGCATGTTTAAGGAAAGCAGAGAGACCCAGGTGACTAGAGTGGAGTTAGAAAGGGAAAACTGGGAAAAAATACAGTCAGAGAGGTAGCCAGGGGCCAGATCATATGCAGCCTTGTAGGCCACGATAAGGACTTCAGATGTTACTCTGAGAGTAAATGATTTGAGTTATATTTTCAGAGGATGATGGGGTGCTCTGTGGAGCACAGAATATAGAGGGGCAATCATGGAAACAGGGAGATCAGTTAAGATAGGTAGGCAGATAGGTATATGAGTAGATGGATAGATAGATAGTTGCTTAATAAATAGCACATATTTATATTGCATATTGACATATATGTCTGCCAGTGTTTTGCTGGGTGCTAGGGATACAAAGAGTAACAAAAAGAGACTGTCATTTAGGGAGCGAGATTGCCATCGATGTATTTGGGTTTTGTTGATCATGTTCATTTATCCTGGAGGTAAACTATTGAACAGTCTTCAGAAGACTGGAGAAAACAGACTCGTTGACACTGTAAGACTGAGGAGGATTAAGGTGTAAGGAACAGTGTGAAAAAGTGTCATCATTGAGTGTGAGACACCTGAATGCCAGAAGGAGCGTGTTGGCTCATGTAGTAAAGTGGAGAGTAGAAAAGGACCACTGGTCAGGAGTGAGGGCCAAGAAGGGCTAGGTGTTTCCCTTCTTACTGCATTTTAAAATGGTTGTTGAGGAGCCAGATGTGAGATCAGAAGGGGGAGGAGATAGCCTTCGAGGATGTAAAGTGCAGTCTGATTATGATCATCAGAAAGGGTTGTTGAGCACCTCTTTGTGTGTGATGCTTAACTAAATGCTTTTGAAAGGGACTATGTGATCGTAGTCTCTGTATTCTGGGAGCTTATGATCCACCAGACAGGCAAGTGAGAACAGATGACCAAACACAGGTGGTGGAGTAGGTCTTTAGAGAGAAGAGTAAGGCCCTGGAATGTGTTACATACCAGATTTCATTTGGGGTACAAGGCAACAAAAAATATGTGATAGGGAATGGGAGTCGGAGGTTTTGAGTCCATAGATAAGAAATTGTGTGTGATTCAGTAATGAAGAGAACCCCAAGGTTCTTTTTTTTAGGAGCAGATGTGATGAGAACATTACCTGAAGAGAGTGGGAAGTTGGTCCAAAAAAGCACTGAAGAGCCAGTTTCTTCTTTGTTTTCACCACAGTGTTCTTGGAACAGATGTGGTAAAACCTGTTTAAAATCACTGTAGATTGAGAGAAGTGTGAATCTCAATAGCATTTTAAAATTCTGAGTAACAAATTGTGTTCTGAAACATAGTCACCGTCTTCAAAGAAGAATTGCTTCTCTTCTGTTTATCCTCACTTTTAAAAGTGAAAGGTTCCCTTTCTAGGTACACACTCCAAAGGGTAGAAACGTTCATTCATTCAGTAATTACTATTTAAGCACTTACCACATGCTAAGCCTTGGAGAGTGGAGCACAAAAAGCTGAGAAAAGACTGCCTCTGATAGAGAAGACAGACACCTAAAGCCCTGCGCAGTGTGATAGTGTTGTTAGTAAAGATGTTTATGAAGTGCTCTCAGCCACAAAGGTTGGGAGGGTGGCAGGTTTCTCAAAGGAGTTGACAGTTGAGCTGGGTTGTCTTGAAGGGAGTTGCCCCTGGGAGAAAGAAAGAAAAGACGGAGGAGCCCCTCCCACTCCCCAGCACACTCTAAGGTGGATCTTAGTAAACCCTTCAGGAGAGAGCAAGTGTCTAGTATGCAAGGTCTACCTATTCGTGCGGATACCTTCCTCAAAAGCGTTTTGAGTCAATCAGTTTATTCCCCTAGGGTACCGGGTGGTAAAAAAACAAATGGGATAAAAATATAGGAAACCAAGCAAAGGAAGTTTCCTGAAATTACACAAGAATCAGATAGAGACAAAATGGGAACCAGAGTTTTCTATCCCTTCTACCTCTACCTAGCACTCCCCCCACCAAATTCCATAAATTCCATAAAATCCCTGAGGTTTGGTGATGCAAGAGTTAGAAGGCTGCCTTCCTTGCTTTAAACTCCTAAAATACAAGGTTCACCCTTGCTTGCCTTCTTCATACTGCCCCTTCCCTTGTTAATGTGCTGTCACAGTCCCCACGGGGACTCATAACAAGGCCTCTCGCCACACTCTTTCATGAAAGATGATGCTGCGTGCAGCTAAACTGTGCCATTAAAAAAGTCACAGGTACACTTGTGCCTTAAGCAAAGAATCTTTAATATCAGACTATCTCCTTATCCAGGGACGGAACTGCCCCCATCTCCTCTCAATTCTGCATGAAGTGCTGCTTTTCCAGGATTTTGTCAGCTGTATATAGCATTTGGAGTTGGCAGAAGTAACATAAAGATGGAAATACCCCTAAGAAGGGGAAAAATGAGATTATTAAGCTTGACTAGAGCACAGCAGTTTTACTAGATGTAAAGATTTTGGCCCCTTTCTATGTTTTTTGTTTATGGTTTTTAGATCCTTAAATGTGTTGTAGTTCTCCTCATGTGGATTAGTTATAGAATGAAGTAAAGGTCAAAACCCACATGGAATTAATTGCACTTCTTCCTTGAGCCTTCATGACAAGAATCAGTGTGAAAATGCAAAAAAGTAGAGAAGAAAAAAGAAGTGAGAATCACCAACAAGAGTACAAAATTTCTGAACTAGGACAAACTGGGAAGATTAATCCTGCCCCAGAGTATTTGTTTGACTCTTGTAGAAAGCATGCCCTGATTCAGTGGACTGGGTGATGTTTAGGGCTGAATGTGTACATAGTAAGGGCTTGTCTTAACAATTTTGATGATTTTAATTTCTAGGGGTAAGGAGTACCTAAAACATATTAGGGCAGAATTTCTGAATTTCACAGGCTGTGCATTGCTTCTCTCTTCTCCCATGGAACGAACGGCTTGAGGAGAGAGTCCCACTGTTGCTTCTTACTAATTAGTTAATCCATT